TATATATATATATATATATATATATATATATATATAAATTAACGTTTCTAGCACATGCTATCGATTAGATGTTACTATCTTTCATGAAAGACGTCGTTGTTTTCAAGACTGTTGTCGTATTTAAGAATGTTGTTGCTTATAGCAGATATTGTCATTTTCTGCATATATACAAAGAATGTTGTCTTTTCTTGTACTTTAGTCGTTTATGCTTTTTGGTCGTTTTGAAAATCCGCGGTTGTTCTATTCCTAGGATATTTTCGTTTATGATTTTGGTCCTTTAGAGTATATGTTGTCGTTTGCAACTTATTGTCTTTCACGAGAGACGTCGTTTTTTTATTATATTGTCGTAATGGCAAATATTCTCCTTTCCGCATAATGTCTATCTCAGTTTTCACTTCAAATGTATTTTCGTTTGAAACAGATAATGCTTTTATACCCTTATTTATTGTTTATGCTCGTTATTCACTATCTCTGTTGTCGTTTTTGTGCGATGTTGTCGTTTGTACTGTATGGTCGTTTTTAATAGATATCGTTTTTGTACTCTCATCGCCTACACATTTTGACCTTTTTCAAAAATGGATCGTCGTTCGTTTTGTAGGATATTTTGTTTTTTAGATTTATTGTCGATTATGTTCGTGACATGTTTTTATCTACTTTTTTTTTGTTTTTTAGGCTCTGTTTGATAAGAGGGATGGAGAGAATTAGAGAGATAGTGAGGATTATGATAATCTTTTGTGTTGTTTGGTAGGATGGAGGGAGAGTTAAAATGATAGATGAATGAATGCTTATTTAATTACTTTTTCATCCTTTTTACTAATTTCATGTTAAACTTTTTAAGGATAAAATGATCTTTTTTAATTTCTAATGAGTAGATTGTATGAATCCTTCCATTAGAGGAGGAATGTAAAATGATGGGCCGGGTGGAGAGTCTTCCTCCACCTCTCCTCTTTCTCTCCTTCTCACTCCAACCAAACAAGAGATTAGGACTCTCCCTCCATCTCTCTCCCTCCACCCCTCACCCTCCCTCCATCTCTCCCTCCTACCAAACACACACTTAAATTTATTGTCGTTTCTGTTAAAGCCAAATTTAATCTACCATAAAATACAAAGTGGCAATGGAAACACAACTTGTAGGTTTGATATATCTGCCGTTTATACTTATTGTCGTTTTATGCTTTTCCATCTTTTTCAGGATGATATAGTTTTTTAGGCAAACAAACGGCCAACCAGAGCCGACAGCTCAAGGACCATTTAAATGGGCGACAAGATTACAGTCTATATATGAATATCCTTGCGAGATTAATTTAGCAAGTAACAACAATATCAGGAAGAACAAATGAATCTACACACACACACACACATACACGTGTGTGTGTGTAAATGCAAGCTGTACTGGTGTCCCTATAAGTGGAGTTTTCACCTCTACATATATGTTCTTTCTGGAGTTGCACAATATGTTCTTTCCATTTGTGTTTGATTCTCAACAGGGTCTCTAACTGATCTATTATAAAATATGAACCAAAAAAGTTCTGCAGGGTCCCAATATTTTCAAAACCCAAAGATGAAAGAGCAGAAATCATTCGGCATCCTCTATGTATATAGGAAAATCCCGTCGAAGGGACAGTAAGAAAGTCATGTAAACTCCAAAGAATATGGTGTTTCTAACAAACGACAATAAACTAATCAGGATAAAGAAATCTGTCTTGTGCTTGGAGTTATAAGTGCAAGCAGTCATAGTCAAGTGAAGTTCTGGTGCCGGCCATACTCCATGAGGCCTCCGTATGTACGATCCGACACCCCAATAAAAAGTGATTCAGTATCTGGACTGAATGATATCCCGGCTATCTCACCGAAGAAATCAATCTCTTGTTCTCTTTCATATCCACTCTTGACATCGAAGACATGAACAAAATCCGCAGGTTCTGCCATTGCCATATGACAGCCATCTGAAGTAAATCGGATTGAGCGAATGGCTGCAAGGTTGCCCCTCAGAACGTCAACGGATTTGGACAGATTACGCGCATCCCAAATCCTGCAGGTTTTGTCCTGGTTTCCCGTAGCGAAAGTGACACCATTGGGGTGCCATGCTGAGGCGAATGAGTAATCAAAGTGTCCATGAAATGCAGTCACAGTCTGCAAAAGAATCACAGATCAAATCAGTATAATACGTAGTATGTGTTTCAAGTTTTACGTGAATTAACATCATCAGAAAGTAGACGAGATCCGAGAACCTTTCCAGTTTGGGAGTCCACCAATAAACCATCTGGATTGTCCCCAACGACCACAAGAAGTTTACCATCAGGACTCAGAGAAGTATTCTGCAAACAGGAGGAGAGATCAGTATAGCAATAGAATAAAGGATGCTAGGCATTATTCATACAATTGAATCTTCCCAAGAGAAATGCCAAATCGACTTCCGAAGATATGAATTTGACTAAAAGCACTTGAATCCCGCATGGGACTTGCACATTTTTAGAAGTTCCCCAAATTTTTATGTAAAGAAAATGAAAACACAACGAAAGGAACTCACATTTACTGCCCAAGGGAATCGGAAATGTTTAGAAAGCTGAAATTTATCCATATTGAATTCTCTGACTCCACGGTCATTGCTCGAAGCTAGGAAGTGAAGTGCACCACTGAAATTTAGAATATCTGGATTAGCTAGGTTCATGTTTGGAAAATTAGTTCAGAGCAACGATAAGACTGCAATAACAACCTGGGACTTTCATAAATCTCAATAGAATTGGTTATGGCGTTATCATCGTAAGTTGTCCTAGAGCAATAGCTAACTCCAGGCCAATCAAGACGCTGCTTCAAATCCAAAAGAAGACTTTTCAGCTATGGCGAGTAAGTTACGCTTAGATGGCTAAGAGAGGAAAACTAGTAATAAGCTCTTTGAAAGATCACTAACCATGGTTAATTAGATTCATTCACTAACTAGTTCACTAACCTTGCAAATTAGTTCTCCTTGAAATCCTGCAACAACTAGGAGTTCATCTTTTGCTGCGAGCATACTAAGTTGAGTCCGTGTAAATCCCTCCAACAAGCTTCCAGGATGTCTCTATAAGAGAGAATTATAACGTGAATTATACATAAGAGCTTACATCGATAAAGGTAATGAAATCGGAAGTAGTTTGTCAAAACTTCAAAACTTTTCGTCCACAATACCTCCGAAGGTGCCACATGTTTAGAAATGTTGAGAACCTCAGACCTACTGGAAGTTAACGATGACCAATGGATGATTGAAGAATGCGAATTAAGGTAGACATCATGCTTTGAAGTAGCCCAGACCAAGTTCCTGAGCTGCATTGGCGAACATTAGAAGAGAGAGAAAAAAATAACTACCTACCTACCCTAATTTTACAAGGAAAAAAAAAAAGACAAATGCAGAAATCTTAAAGCTAATTTCATGAAAGCGGAAAAGCACCAGCTTCACATCCATAGGCTAAAAAAGCAAGCCACACTGCAAACCTGGAAATGATGAATACTTGGTTTGATCAATCGCACATTTTGTCTGAACTTATAGTAAGTAGACCCTTTCTCTGTAATTTTGCAATCCTGATTACAATGGAGAAGAAAAACACGATCTAAGCTGTTATCACCAATCATTGTTGATATTTTCTAGTCAAGGTTAACCATTATTAATAAGCGCAACATTACTCATGTCAAAATCCAAAGTGAAATCGAAATAACAAAAAACTAAACCAATTGATGGAATGTAGTTGGATTTTACCCTTCTTGAGCTCTCTCCTGAAAAAGGGACATTTTCATAATTCCGGTACTGCTCTAACCTCTTTTGGCGGTATTCCTCTCTTTTAATGCTAAGCCTTTCCCAAGGAATATCCTGGATATCGTTTCCTCCTCTAGCTTGAGCAGTAGTAATCTCAGCTACTTTACTATCCTGCATGAGGTTTCTATCAGTTATTCCAAAGTATATACAAAGCCAACCAAGGAAAGCAATGAACTCTACATAGGATCGTAAAGAAAAATTATTTACGGGAAAGAAGTTAGATCTATGAAAATCACAATGTTAATGGAGACTGTGCAAAAATAGGAGAATTCACAAAACATGCAGGTACGGCAGCAACCGAGCACTCATAAAGCCATCTACCTCTGGCGTTTCTCCTTCACGGTATTTTCCTTCGCTACTAGAAGAGTCAGCAACTTCTATTAGCGCCACACCTTCCCTCCTCGCAGATCCAGACCTATGCAGAATAATTTGAAACATAAATATTGCAGGAGAACTTTTGATGAAGGTATCAACTTCACAAGTCTGCCCAAAATGCAAAAGGAACCAACAAGGTCCATATTGACTATGATAAGCTACAGCTATTGATGCTTAACATCACAGACAATAAAAATGGCATAATTAGAAGATATTCTGGTATGCATTTGGTATAAAACCAGCTAAGCATCTATGATCTTGAATTCTTGATTGTCGTGTTATTAGTGTGGTCAATCAAAATCTATTTAGCACACTTAAAAATTTGAGTCATTGTACTTCACACAAGAATACGTCTAATTGATGTAAAAGTAAGAGATTAATTATATATATATATATATATATATATATAGAGAGAGAGAGAGAGAGAGAGAGAGAGAGAGAGAGAGAGAGAGCACTGAAAATTAGACAAATATTGGAAAAACTGGGTCAGACCCCACACCTGCTGTTGCTTCTTGTACCAAGTGATTCGGATTGATTGGCTTTTAGAAGAGAAGAGGGTGTCATTATTGGCAGACCCGGAAACTTTTCACAATCATGAATCTCCAACTCTTTGAGGGAGGTTAGGATTCCAAGACACCCCTCGTCTAAAGCTTTAAGCTCATCACAGAAGGAAATGCTAAGTGAACATAAACTTGAAGGCAACCCACCCTTAAGAAATGACTTCTGCTCTGGACAACCAGTTATCTTCATTACTTGAAGACATGGAAATGCACTCTCCATTTGTTGATCCCTAGGAAGAAAAGGCATCAACTGTTTACAGTTCACCACTTGAAGCATAATTAAGGCAGGAAGAGAATCTGGCAAGTGCACATTTAACTTTGGACAATCTTCCAAAAGAAGCTCCTTGAGACGGAGGAAAACTCCATCACCTTCAGCAAATGACCATTCCTTCCACTCTGGCATGTTCCAAAAATGCAAAATTTCTAGAGATTGAAATGGCTTAGACATAAAAGACCCATCAGAGTAGAACTCTGGACCTACCATCATTACACTATCACATCCCCATATCTCAAGCTTTTTGAGGGATGGTAGCTGCCCGAATGGTGGCAAGAAAAAACAACTTTTACAATAGTGCAGACGCACCTCCACTATATCAGAAAAGGAATGATGTCCTACCCAATTTGAGAACCTTGTACCTCTGTATCCATGGATAGAAAGTTGTTTAAGGTTCGTGTGAGGCTGGAGAGCATCAAGTACTTGTCTTTCTTTTTGGGAATTGTCAGCGCCGGTGCCACTAATAGCCCATTCCAAGGTCAGCTCCTTCAACTTCTTCTCTTCTAGATTAGCTTCCAACACATCTCCAACATCGACAACATTCTCAAGCCCCCAAATATGAAGACTTCTGGATAAATGTTGAAGCCTTCTCAACTCCTTAATGCTGGAACCACCATCTCTTCCTAAAACAAAACCGGTCAGTGTTTGCAACTCTTTTAGATTACAAATTTGAGGTGGCATCTCCTTTAAAGAAACAGTATTACTAATATCAAGATGGCGCAAGTTGATCAGGCTTCCCAAGTTCATTGGCAACTGAGTAAGGTTTGTACAATAAGCCAACAGCAGTGTCTGCAAGTTGTACAAAGTACATAAAGTTTCAGGTATTTCTTTAATTTCGGTTGAAGATAAGTCCAAATACCTTAGATATTTCAAATTGCCAATTGAAGTAGGCAACTCGGTGATAAAAGATAGAGGCAGTGAGAGTGCTTTCAAGCATCTTCCAGTTCTTGCCAAGAGTTCATCCACAACCAAATGGTTTGATGGCAGAAATATTCCTTGCAAGGCCAATGATTGTAACAATAGAAAGGTGCGCAAGAACTCAGCTTTAGATAAATCCGCATGTTTCATTAACTCAAACCCTCCAACGGATGCCAAATGACGAGTCTTACTTGTAAGGTTGTACAAGCTATTCTCATCCAACTTTAAACAAAATTCACCTGAGACAAAAGTAGCCAAATCATGGACAAGGTCATGCATGACAAGAGTTGACTCATTCGAACTTGATCGTTGAATCAATGACCGTGATATCAGAGCACGAATATACTCCTCTGCTACATCTTCCATTGGTCTTCCAGCTTTAGACTGCAAAAGACCTTCTGCCATCCACAGCAGAATTAGACGTCTCTTTTCATAATTGTAACCTTTGGGGAATATTGAGCAATAGGCAAAACATCGCTTAAGTTGTGAAGGCAAATAATGGTAGCTCAACCATAATACTGGAAGAATTTCACTACTCCCATTTTCTTGCAAATGCAACTCCCATATATCACTTTTTAGTATTTTTCTCCATTCTTCTAGATCAAACACAGAACGTAAAAGACCAGCAAGCGATTTTATTGCTAAAGGAAGACCCTTGCACTTTGTAACAATTTCACGACCAATTTTCTGTAAATCTGGATATGCATCTGAGTCAACACCATTAAAGGCGTGTTTTGCGAATAGCTGCCAAGAATCTTCATCCGTTATTACATGCAAGTCATGAATTGGAAAATTACCCATCTTTAATGCAACGGTTCTACTACGTGTTGTCACAATGATCTTACTGCCATTAGCTCCAAAATTAAAAGAGCTTTTCAACACGTTCCAGCTATCATAACTCTCGTTCCAAATGTCATCCAGAATAAAGAGAAACCTCTTCCCCTCCAAAGCCTCTTTTAGTTTGAATTGAAGCTTATAGGGATCCTCAATATCACATTTTTGAGAGGCGACACTTTCATAAATTGTTTTCATTGTTTTGAAAGTATCAAATTCATGTGATACCGTAACCCATGCTTTTAACTCAAAATATTCTTTCACCCTGTTGTCATTGAAGATGATCTGAGCAAGAGTGGTCTTGCCGATGCCACCCATGCCCACTATTGGAATCACAGGTATCTCATTGCCACTAACATCATCCACTAGCAGCAGTTTAATAATTGCCTCTTTATCAACATCCCTTCCATAAACACCAGATTCTTCAACCAAAGGAGCAGGTAATCTTTGTAAAAGTTTACTTTGAACACCTGCTTTTAGGCCAAGGACCTCTTTTCGATCCAAAAGAAGTTTTAATCTATGAAGGATCTCCACTATCTTAGACTTCACAGCCTTGTCAAATGCAGTAAAGGAAGAAGGGATGAGTTTCATCAAAATCTTACTCATGTTGTTGTTTTCTGATTGACCTTCCACCTTGCGGCTCAAAGCTTCAGTATTGATCTTGTCCACCAGCTCATCGGCTTGATAAACTACTTCTTTGAGCTCATCAAGCCACTTCCTAACGTTTTGATCTTCCATCTGTTTCTCCTCAGCATCATTTAGCACTGCACTTGCTGACAACAGCATTATCTCCAAGTCCTTGAGCTGGTCAACGATGAGTTTCTTTCCACGGAAGAAGTCCACGACCTCCTGAGAAGCCAATCTGTCAAACAAAACTTGAAGAAAAGCAGAGAGAAAAGCTCCACCAACCAGTTCAGCCATGCTTCTGCACTTAAGAAGAAACACAAAGATGGATGAAGGGAATCTATCGGTTGGAAACAATAGAAGAAATTTGGGACTTTTCTGGGTTTGTTTGGAGAGGATTTGGATTTGATGATCTGAATCATAGAGCAGTAAACTCTACACGGTCCACAAGTTTATTCCCAAATATTATTTATTCTGAAAGCAAAGTCCACAATTGGTTTTCGAGGAAAGTCAACAATTTGTTTGACCCTTTGTTTTGTTTTCTCTCTTCTGTAATTTCCTGTTGAATATTAGAATTGAAGAGCATTGTCAGTGACTCACAGAAGATAAGAACGGACCCTACAATTAGGACACTGATATTATGCAAGTAACTACATCATAATCAGACCACTGCAAATAGCCAAATAAGATTGATAGTTGAATAGTTCAAAAGCCAAAAGCAAATGATTTGTGCAAAAGTAAATCACCTCATCATCAGGCATTACTTCGAATTCTCTCCATTAGACCCGTGAAGAATTAAATAATTGGAAACGATTTAAAGGAATCTTAAAAATATATACAATATCATAACCAGTGTTTACAACGAATTTTCCTACTGTCAAAGCATGCTTGCAAATAATTGCTAGGAAACTTCATCTAACTGTTTTGGAGTATACCTGGCATCTCTTTGGCCCTTCCTTTCACATTAGTACAACATATCTTTCAACATTGCCTTTAGTGGGGTCAACAGAAAAAAGAAAAAAAAAAAATTACTATAGCCATAAGCCTGTAGCTTCTTTTTTTAGGGTTTTCTGTGGGACCGAGTTAAAGGAAGAAAAAAGATTAGAAAAATAAAAATAAAAAATTTTCATCAAATTCTGATTTAACTGTTATACTATTTTTAATCTGCTGGTATAAAATTATGTCTCACTAGTAGATTTTGTTTTATATACCACAAAAAATTCTCCTTTTTATAAATACATAAATTAGATACCCTCAAGCATTCGGCAAGTAAACAGAGTAGTCATACCTAAAAAAGGCTTACAGAAATAGTCCAGAGCCTTTACTGGTAAAGCTTTAAGAGATTTATAGATACAAAATCAGATCAAGACCATTTAAACAGAGCCAAACATTTGAGCCACATGCCATTCGCACTAAAGATGCCATCAATCGTTTTCTATCAGCATATCATGTACAGGTCCATTGTTTGTTAACATTCTCTAAAAGTAAGCTTTTCAGCAGATAAGCACGATTTTCAGTCCCCGCCATCATTCTATTTTAGCAAGGGCCCATGTTCATAAAACTTCTACAAAGTACACTTTTATCACATACACAAGTTGACACAAGTTGAGACCACTTCTTCTTCTCTGGCTTTATTTTTTTTTGGTTCTCTATGCAAAAATTTGCACTTGTTCCCATAAGAAACTCTGAACAGAGCATAACTGGCAAGCCCTTCTCCTGCAACAATTTGACAAATTTTATTATTTGACATCAACACCATGAAGATGGCATTTTAAGATAAAATTTGGTTTCAAAAAACTAACCATTAGAACATTCTTAGAAGCATCAAATTGAGGTAAAAATCAGATGGCTGCAACTGTTGCAAGAAGACTTGGAACAAACTTGCAACCTTTCTGTTTGTCACGAGTTTCAGCACGTTCTGGAGTGCAGACGCGAGTATTAAGCACATGTGATACTTTTTTAACTTGTAAAAATTACATCATCATCAATCTGTAAGCAAGCATCTTGAGCGATTTTATTCCAGTCATTTTTGTTTTTTCCTTGCCACTTTTCTTTCAGCAAATGACAGTTGCAGATCTGTATAGAACGAAGTGAGGAAGGAAGCTGCCCTTCCGGCATGAACTGAAGCTCAGGGCAGTTATGGATCTTTAACTCTTTAAGAGATTTGAGATGTTGAAGTCCCTCATGGTTCAGTGACTTCAAGTTAGGAACTCCCGAGATGTAAAGAGAGGTAAGAGTAGGAGGCAGCATTCCCACCTGGGGAAAGGACTTCAACTGTTCACACTCACTATTAACACCAATACTGAAATCTCTAAGCAATGAAAGTCCTTGAAGATTCCACTCATCAGCAGCAATGAGCTTCTCACAAGATAAAATCGAAAGAGAGCGTAAACTTGATGGCAAACCTCCCTTGGGAAAGGAAGAGAGTTCTTGGCAGTAACTCAAACGTAATACTTGTAGAGATGAGAGGCAAGAGTACATTCCCTGGGGGAGAGATTTTAGTTTCTCACATTTCTCAACCACAAGCCAGGTCAAGTTTGGTGCAGGAAGTCCTCCTCTTGGAAAAGATAAAAAGTTATGACACTCGGAAATTTGCACGAAACGCAGAGATCTAAGTGCTTGAAAATGTTCCTCTGGAAATGACAGTGATTCCAAATACTCGCATCCCTCTATATGCAAACGATTTAGTTTTGGAAAGAAGTGCAATGGAAAGGACTTGAGGGAGGAACAACTAAAGCATATTGACAAGCTTTCAATGAATTCATTGAAACCATACATAGGGAACTCTAACCTCAGGCAGCCGCTTATTCCTAGTACTTTCAAAGTTGGAGGTGGATCATCACCCTTAAGAAGGCAACTAAGGGAAAGACAGTTTGAGATGTTCAACTCTTCAAGAGTGTTGTTGTATACTATTTTATCAGGTAGGGATACTATGGTATGATTTTCCGCAATTGAGAGCCACGATAACGATAATTCTGGTGGAATAGTCTCCAAAATTTTCTCCCGAAAGTTGACCAGGTCTAGTTGACAAAGAGCTGGAGCCTTGCAAAGTGAAACCATAAGTTGCGGACAATCAATGATCCCAAGTTCTGCTAGTTCAGGAAGATGGTCGGGAAAATCGCCAGTTAGCTCTTTACAATTTTCAATGTAAAGCTCCCGAAGACTAGGGAAAGATCCACAGTTAGGTCCTCTTTGAAAACAACGCCATTCTTTCCATCTCAACATATCCGCAAATCTCAGAATTTCCAAACATCTAAATGGCTGAACTGAAGAGTCTCCACAAAATTCATGGCCCACCTTTTCAACTAGATCAAACCCTATGACAGAAAGTTCTTTGAGAGAAGGTAGCTGCCCTAGTGGTGGCAAAGAGAGAGAATTTTCACAACCCATTAGAGATAGGAAAACTATGTTAGAGAAAGAAGGATTTCCCAACCAATGAGGAAATATGGTACCACCATAGTTCTTGATAGTCAGTCTTTTTAAGTTTGTATGAGGCTGCATTTTGTCAAGTAGTTCCCGTTCCTTCTGAGTATCATCAACAACAGCATTAGCATCCCACTCCAGCACCAACTCTTTAAGGTGCTTCTTATCCTTGAAGCTAATATCTAAAGCATCCTTAGCACAAACAATGTTTTGAAGCCCCAAAACAGAAAGGGTTCCTCGAAGATTTTGAAGCTGTCCCAACTCCCTTATGCTAGCCCCACTGCCTTTTCCCAAAACAAACATAGTTAATGTCTGGAGATCTTTCAAGTGACATATCTGCAATGGCATTTCTTTTAAGTTTGTTCCATCATTATAAAGATGACGCAAGTTAATTAGTCTTCCAATGTCGGATGGCAACTGAGTGAGAGAGAAACAATTTGATAACTTTAATGTTTGCAAGTAGTACAAAGTGCTGATAGAAGCAGGTAACATTTTGATTCCAGTATGAGAAAGGTCCAGATACCTCAGATGTTTTAAATTAGAAACTGAATCAGGCAACTCCGTCAGATTACTATAATGTGACAAAGACAGCACCCGTAAGCGTGTTAGACTTGGTAATAAATCAGTGGTCACCTTCTCACTCAAGAAGTTTTCAGATGATGATAAGTTCAACGGTAGGAAGGTGCGCAAGCACTTTGCTCCGTCAAGCGAATCAAATTTTTTGGAGGTTTCATAATCTGATCTCATATAGGAAAAATGGCGAGCACTTTTTGGAATTTCTTGTGAATTGTTGCCCTCCAACCTAAAACAAAAGTCTCCAGCCACATACTTTGCTAAATCATTAACAAGGTCATGCATGATGAAACATGCTGCATAATGGAAATCGAAACAGAATTCATTTGACACAACAGTAGCCAAATCATAAACAAGATCATGCATGAAGAGAGTTGATTTATCTGGACTTAATCGTTGAAACAATGACCTCGATATTAGATCTTGAAAATACTCCTCTCCAATTTCTTCCATCCGTTTTCCTTTCTTAGGCTGCAAAAGACCTTCTGCCATCCACAACAATATTATTTTTTCTTTTTGGAATGCATAATCTTTTGGAAATATTGCACAGTAGGCAAAACAACGCTTTAAATGTGAAGGCAAATAACGATAGCTCAACCATAAAGCCGGAAGAATCTCACTCTTCTTTTCATACAATTCCCATACGTTGCTCCTCAATATACTTTCCCAAATACTTAGATTCCGTTCTGGCCGTAGGAGGCCTCCAAGAGATTTTACTGCCAAGGGGAGACCGTTGCACTTTTTGACAATTTCTCTTCCAATTTCTCGCAGAGCCGGGTAAGCATCTACCTCTATAGAAGTGCTAAAGGCATGTCTTGAAAATAATTTCCAGCAACCTTCCTCGGACATGCCTGACAGGTAATGAATATGCCCGGTCGCCACCATCCTTGCAACAATTATGCTGCGAGTGGTCACAATTATCTTGCTCTCATGCGCTCCAGATTCGAAAGCACTTTTCAAAGCATCCCATAAATGATAATTCTCATTCCAAACATCGTCAAGAACAAAAAGAAATCTCTTTTCCCTCAAAGCCTCCCTCAAGTCAACTAGAAGCTGATACAAATCGTCGATTGCGCATTTTCGCGATGACACCGTCTCCAATATTGTTCTCGTCACTCTGGAAACATCAAACTCATCCGACACAGTAACCCAAACTTTGACATCAAAATAGCTATCTACTCTATCATCATTATAAACGAGCTGAGCTAGAGTAGTTTTCCCAATACCGCCCATGCCCACGATGGGGATCGCGGAAATTCTCCGCCCGCCACAATCACTTGATACCAACAATTCAACAATAAACGTTTTATCAAAATCCCTTTCGTAAACATCGGATTCCTCTACCAAATGAACTATCGGTCTTTGCAAAAATCTCCTCTGAACACTCTCTTGCAGACCAAGAACATCTCTTTGATCAATTAGAAGTCTTAATCTACGAATTACCTCCTCAATCTCCGGTCCAAATCCATTCATAAACGAGTTCGAGAAAAGCCTAAGAAACTTACTCGTTCTGTGCCGGCTTTCGAGCTCGTTGCTCAGAGCTTTGTAATTGATCTCGTCTACCAAGTCGTCGGCTTCGAGAGCGACGTCGGCGAGCAGACCGAGCCACTTTCCGACATTGCGGTCGCTGAGCTGCTTCTCCTCGGCATCGTCGAGAAGCTTGTTAGCGGACAACAAGACGACTTTCAATTCTTCGAGACGCTTAACGACGAGGCTCTTGCCGAAAAGGTAATCGACGACCTCGCGACAAGCGAGCCTTTCGATCAAGACCTGAACAATAGCGGAGAGAAGAGCTCCGGCGAAGAGGTCCACCATGTTTACGAGCTCGAACAGAAGCTGAAAGATGGATGGAATAAGCAGAGAAATGAGGGGTTTTTTTTTTTTTTTTTTTTTTTTGCAAAGGGGAAAAATGAGAGCTTTTTCGGCGGGTTTTAGGATAAGAAGCAGGGGAACGAGGGTCATTGTTTGTAAACAGTTATATAGAATAATAATCGGGTGAACAAAAGACCCGACAACCGACAAACCTAAGCACGTTCTTTTGTCTAAAAAACTCAAAAAAAAGATAATTTGAGTTTTAATTTTATTCAAGTTCACATTTTTTAAAGTTTTAACTTTATTCAATTTTATTCAAGTTACAACTTTAACTCAAGTTATAACTCAAATTCAACTTAAAAACTATACTCAAATTACACTCCAAAAGAACAATCCCTAATTAATCCACCCGCAACCCTTTTTAACTCGAATTTGATCAATTCGATTAAAGAGATCAACCCAATTCATCCAACCGGTTGTTAATTAAGTGGGTTTAGGTTAAGTTTTTCTTAATCTAAATTGATCCGAATCCAGCTAATATATTTATTTATGTAAATAAATATTTTTCTATCTCATAGTATATAAAATGTGTTCATTTGCACAATTTAAGTTATGATTTAAGTTGTGTGTGTACGAGAAAAATAATGTAATAAAAAAGTTGAATTTGAATTTATGTGAGAAAAAATATTGTAACAATATGACTTAAGTCATGAAATAAACAATGCCATAATTTTTGTATTATATTTTACATTATTTACTTGACAATTTATTATGTTTTATGTTGTATGAACTTTTATTCTTGTTTGTTTTTTAGTTTACAACTTCTATATTTGAACTTGTTTTACATATATTTTATTTTTATATTGATTTATAACGTATGTGATAATTTTGAAACTTTATAAGGCTAATATTGTGATAAAAGTTTTCTTTTTATACATTTTTTATTTTAGGTTGAATAATTAGTTTTTTTATTTTTTTACTTTTTTATTATGTTCAACTCGATTAACCCATCTAAACTATCTAAAATTTAATTGAGTGGGTTAATTTTAAACTTTGAGTTGATTGGGTGGGTTAAATTTAAAATCAACTCACTCAATTGGGTTGAAAAATCTCAAAAACCCAATTCACTCTTAACCAGCTAAAAAAGGTGTTTCGCACAATAGGCCATAAACTTTCCATGTTTTGAGAAATTACCCCTGAGCTTCTAATGTTGACAATTGATCTTTAAGCTTTTTTTTTTTTTTTTTTTTGTTAATAACAGGAAATCTTTATGGTGAAACAAGTTATTTTTTTTCCATTAGTGGAGCAAGTATTTTTAATAGTTAAATTAGTTTTTTAATAGTTAGATATGTGCATGTCCGTATTAAAAATTTATAGAGCACCACACAAAATTATTTTTGCTGCAAATCTAACCGTTAAAAAATTAATCGAATGGTAAAAACACTTATCCTACTAGTGGAATAAAATAACTTTCTTTGTAAAAACTATCATGTTAATAATTAATCTTTAAGCTTGTCAAACTTCTATTTAACCCAAATTGATGGTCATGTAAATTGATGACAGAAATACTGATGTACATTTTTTATTTTTAAAACTTTACACATTAACAAATTACCTCATAAATTTTTAATTTAGTCAATTAATTTATTTTTTTGCCATCGCCAATTTAAACGAGTTTAACAATTTGCGTCACCTTGCAATAATTTGATAAATTGAAGGGTCAAACCTTGCACAATATTCATGTAGGTGGGTGGAATTTATAATTAGAGCATCTCCAATGGTAAAATTGACATTTTAGTGTAGAAAATATTCTCCCAATATAATGTCATTTATTATATTAAATTTACCGTATACTATACTTTATGACAAATTTACCGCTAAATATAGCATATAAAAAATATGATATTTGATTGTTATTAGTAGATATGTTTACTTTTTCATTTTAATCATCACAACATTTACATTTTTAAATTATTATAATTTTTAAAGTCTAATGATTATGTCAAAAAGTAGATTAGAGTTTGTTTGGATTGGCTTGAAAAGTTGCCTTTGGGATGGACATCTTTAAAGTGCTTTTCACTCTTACAAACTCTTTTAAAACAAATTATCTCATTAGTGCTTGTGAAAAGAGGGCTTATGAAAAGCTTTTTCATTTACATTTTAAACTTTTTATTTATGAATAATAAATTAAAAATTCCATCTATATTCTTGTATTACATTACTAATAAGTGTTTTGACTTATTTGTCCGAACAGATTCAAAAGTTATTTTAAATTAAAAAGTTTTTTCATGCACTATATAAACACTAAATAAAAAGCCTTGATTTATACTTTTCTTCTTCTACCGTTTAAAAGTAAAAGCACAAACTCTCTTAAACAGACACTTAGCATTTGAAATAAAATTATATAGTAGAGTACAAATGAAAATAACATGTTAGATATACCATTATCGTATTTTTTGGAATTAAAGATACAATTGACATTAACATTTGTATTAGAGATAGTCTTAGTAAGAGAATTTGTATTGGAGATAGTCATCCAAAAAGTAAGAAGTTATAGGAAATTTTTATGATAGAGAAGACTATTTTACTCTACTAATAAAAATTATTATTTTTAACTGTTAGATTAATTTTTTTAAAAATAAATGTGTGTATATCTACGTTAAAAATTCACAGCACGTGAATAAAAGGCTACTACTGTAGATGAAGACTGTTGAATAGCTTTATTTACCGTAAACGCACCCGTTCTTTTTCTTTTTCTTTTTTCTCCTTTTCTTGGAATGACATATTATTGTTCTCAGTTTTCACTGGCCACGTACAAATGATAAACAGAAGAAAGATTCCTTTAGAAGCATAGTTGCTTTTGCTTTACTCTGAGTAGTCCATTTACGCATGTATCTAGTAGAATCGTTTTTTTTCTCGTGCTTGTCTCTTTCTAATTTAGCTGGGAAATTGTTCTGTCGCCAACTTGAAAAGAAAGTATCTAACAATAACAGTTCAGTCTGACCAAATAACGACCATATTATGCATTATTAATATATTTCACCAAGTACGATGCCAAAAGCATGCATGTAATTTGCGAATTTCTTTAATTAGTTTATTCTTTATTGATGAAAGAGCTTTTCTTTCCAGGAAATTTCTGGAAGAGCAGGAGTCTAAAATGGCAAACGCGTGAATATGCGCCATTAACAGCTTATAATATTAATATATGTGTGCAAATATTTGTTTGGTTAGATATATTAGAGTAGAAAATTATGATCATCTATAAAGTACTAACACATTAAAAATGTCATGTGAATTGATCAAGTCCGCAAATTCATTAGAACGTGGCGGCACAGGAACCATAGGGACGTGGCAAAAACAACACTTGCGTTTGATATTTCGGTTTGGTTGGTCTTTCTCTTTTTCACGCGCTTCGTTTTTCTCCTTTCTTGAACTTTTTCTTTATTTTTACTCTTCTTCTTAATCTATTCATCGAGTTTATACATTGTTGGGATTTTCTTTCATTGGGCTTGAAATAAGTATACGAGTATTAAGGATGTTCCTTTAAATGGGCTCTCATAACGCGCTCTCTCTCTCGTTAAAGTATAAAATTATTGTTGATTTACATCCTAACAGTTTAAACTTTTGGGATAGATATTGGTAAACTAATAGTAGCGCTTCGTTTTTCTCCTTTCTTGAACTTTTTCTTTATTTTTACTCTTCTTCTTAATCTATTCATCGAGTTTATACATTGTTGGGATTTTCTTTCATTGGGCTTGAAATAAGTATACGAGTATTAAGGATGTTCCTTTAAATGGGCTCTCATAACGCGCTCTCTCTCTCTCGTTAAAGTATAAAATTATTGTTGATTTACATCCTAACAGTTTAAACTTTTGGGATAGATTGGTAAACTAACATAGTATCAGAATGGGAGGTCTTGAGTTCAAACTCCCGTAATTGCACTCTTTATCTCCATTTAAAATTGTCATTATGTGTTAAGTTTTTAATATATCTCGGGCTTAAATATTCACGTGTTGAGCCTTCTAATTAATTTACTCACACGATTACCTATTTTTCAACCTATACGTGAGAGGAAGTGTTAAAATATAAAAAGTTTTTAGAATGAATTGTTAAGCTAACATCTCTCTCTAAGAACCCCTAGGGAGAATACCGTGCGTTACAGCTAGGAAATTTCGTATTGTATCTTACTAAAGAAACCCTAGGGAGAATTAATACCATGTGTTACAGTCAGGAAATTTCGTATTGTATACCAATATATATATTTATATGTATATATATATATATATATATACAGCCGACAAAAGCATTTGAAACTAACAAAGCGTTATAAACAGAAGCAAATTCCATATATCTGTATATTAATAGTTAATATGACATAACATGACATTGAAGTCGATCATAAAGCATTATCGAAACGGGGCTTTTCCAAACAAATCAGCTGCGACAAGAGAAAAAAAAAAAAAAAAGTTGCTTTCGTTTGTGCGAGTTTGGTCTCTTCTCTTTTTCTTCCTTTTTCAAAGTCTCTTTTCTTTTTTCTATTATTAGCTTCTTCAATTTGCTTTTATCTACCTAACACACTGATTTTGTAGTTGGCCCGAAAATTAGTGCGCAAACGATCATAAATATTGTTGACGTCGATTGTTGCTTCTTCTTTTAACTTACGCAACTCAAATATTATAATTATAATGTCATTTTGGCCCCATCTTCTCGATCATTGAATCTAGTGCAAAATTGCAAAGGTTAATTCTTTTTTATGTGAGGTATATAATTGTTGGAGTTTATCTATTCGTATTATTTTGAAACAATTTTCTGGCAAATTAATTACATAGATACACTGTCGATATTTTGTAATTCTAAATTATAATTTAATTATGATAAAAAAAATGCAAATTTGGAATCATTTTTCATTAATGTTGGCCTTTAATGTGCAGGAGGGCTGGTTTATCCTGTTGGTTCTCTTCTAAAGAGATTAAAAAACGACACAAGTACCATGAGACGACGATAAATTTCAAATACGACATAAAAGAAAAACGACAAGAATGTAAGAATTATCATGAAC